TTCTCATGGAGTAACTCACTGCAGAGGCCACTGCAGGGTAGGATGGAGTGTGTTGCACTAAATGGAGGGCAGTCACCTTCACAATTTCTTATCAGGCATCAGTGAGTTTCTCACCTGTGGCTCAACACTCAGCCTTACCCTAAAGCTAAGCAGACACGGGACCAGTTCCCATCTTTGCCTAACTAAAAACTAATGGTCTTTGGGATACCTTCTGACCCGTCCCTCCCGTAAGTGGATACAGCTATGAGACAAACGCCACCTGGCAGGGAGGAATGCCGCTGTCCGAGGCGGGGGCCGCGGCCGGGCCTTTCCCGGGTGCTCTGTGCCCTCTGCTGGCGGCAGCGGCCGGGCCACCCGGGCCCTCCCGGCCCTGCCCGCCGGCCGCGGCCCCGGCTGAGCGGGGTCAGGGGGCTCGGCATCCGCCTCTTCGGAGAGGCGAACGGAGCTGGGAGAGTGAGCTGAGAAAGGGGAAAAGTCCGAAGGAGGAAATAGAAGGAGTTGTGTATCCAATATTCTCCATGCGCCCCAGATGCCACCTCTGGTATTCCTTAAACTCCCCTGTGTCCTGCTGGCCTCCCTCCTCTGACCTCAAGTCCCTGTAACACAGTGGTAACTCAGTTTTTGCCCCAGGGACCTACTCTGCCACTGCTGCACAGTTTCACTGTACTGCTTCAGATGTTTTTCAGGCAGTAATATCCTTCCCCCCCCAATACATAACCTACAGTCTGCCTCCAGTATATTTTCCCTGATTTTCTACCAGGTCCTCAGGTGCAAAATCCACATGGTGATTGAAAGGGTGCTGGCCTGCATCAGCTATCTATTTATGTTCCTTAAATTGATTAGGATTTTCTCTGGTTTGTTTTTATCTCAGTAGTTTTGTTTGATTGTTGTTTACATTACTGGTTGGATGGCATCCAGAAAGTCATAAACTGTAATGTCTTTTTGGATTATGGATGGTAAGACATATTTTTTTTACTCTATGATTTTCAGCAAATATTAGTGCTGTCTGCAATAAATGAACCTGAACAAGAGAAAAGAGTTAGCTTGTATCCACTACTTCTAATTTCTTCCATGTAGACAAAACAAGTCTATTGGTCTGTGCCTTAACAAAGAAGTAATCTTCAAATACTTTTGGAACATGTACTCAACACCATACCAGGCAGAAAATACACAGCCTGATTTTCATTGACACAAAAGGCAATTTATAAAGCTCAGGAAGCCTTGCAAGGATTAAAGCAGATGTCTGCACCCATTTAGAGCTTTCTTTCCACACCAGTGTTGTGTAACTGAATAGTTGTTCAGGACTTGCTGCTGCTGAACTGGGTAAGTGTGCCACACCTAACACCTTACTCAGGGCAAAACTATGTAGATTGCACATTTGCATAAAGATGCATGTATTTTCTTCAGTGGCAATCATTTTCATGTTTGCAGCCCTACACTTTGAGCCTTAGAAAGCATGCTGATGGTGAGCTATAAAGAGATCTTGTGATTTATTCTCTTGCAGTGGTCTCAACATTTTGTCCTCTTTTCCTTCCACAGATTGCATTGATCTAAACTGTTATTGATGCAGAAGCCATCCAAATACAAAAACACACCCTACTATTTTAAAGTGTGATGTTGAATGAAGTTGAAATTGGCTAAACTGTAAAGAATCATTTGGTATAATTAGACAAAGATATATAATATATACAGAGACATTTCTTTAGGTAACTGAGTAAAAATCATGAGCTTAAGGACTTATTTTCCTCTTTAATCTTCATGATTTTTGATTTTATATTCAAGTGGACACAATGAAAGAAATGGATTCACTCCCTGAAATGGATGAATCAGTCTCTGAGAAAGGTTGTCTCAGCTGAACTCCCTAGTGAAATGGGAATAAATATGTTTTTAATGGAAATGCTGAAGTCCAGAGCGTGTGTCTGCCATAGCCCTACCAACTCCAGGGAGTAAAGACATATGACCGGTCTTGAGTTTGAATTCCTTCTTCTTCCAAGCCATATTTGGGGAGCTTTTCAGAAATAGAAGGGCTAAACCACAGAAAAGAAGATTCCATTAGTGCTAAAATTATGGGGACTGTACCACAAGGATAGGGTAACTCAGGAGAATAAAGCAGAGATAGGACAGTCAACTGACAGTATTTATTGAGGTAAAGCTTACAACAAGAGAAATGTGAGAAAAACTTGAAGGTGCAGTTGCAATCTTTCTTCTTGTAAGGTGTCTGTAGGTGTGAACTTCTTTGCCTGCTTTAACTTTCCTTTCCTTCATGCTCAAGGGGTGCAGTTCTTCTATGTTCTTCTATGAAGTTTAGCATGGGCAAGTGCTGGATTCTGCACCTGGGACAGGGCAAACCTGGTTGTGTGTATAGACTAAGGAACAAGGGGTTGGAGAGCAGTGCTGCAGAAAGGAACCTGGGGGTCCTGGCTGATGGCAAGTTGAATATGATTCTATTTCAGGTAGTAGTGACAATGAGGAGGGAGGACCATAAACATGTTCCCCATAAGACCTTTGGGACTTACTTGTGGAAATCCCGAGGAGGAAGAGATCTCAAGTCAGTTCAAAATAAGACAGCAGCAAAAATCCATCACGCAAGAGACAGTGAGACCCATTCTTGAACATGGGCAATAGAGTAAATATGATTCTTTGAGAAAGCAATATTTATTGTATCATGGGGTAGAGAAGGTACACAGAAGGATGTCTTCTCAATTTCTTGAATTACATGAAAAATTTAACTATGACTGACTGAGCTGTTACACATCCCTGGGAGTGTGAGGTCTTGGGGCCTCTGAACTACTATAAGTAGTATAAGATCCAGGTTCTGGGGCCAAAATTCACTCCAGCACTTAGGTATTCCCTTTCTACCCATAGCACTCCTTTAAAAATATAAGGAACACTGAAAATAGCAGAATCTCTGTTGGAGTTAGGCCTCTGTTGCACTTGCACATTTAAGGTTATTTTACAATATGACTTTTCCTCCCTCTTTTCTTCTTTGTCCTCTGACTTTTCATTTTCTTCCTCATTTATTGCCTGTCCTTCTTCATTCTCATTCCACATACACAGACCCTGTTCTCAATGCTATTAATCAGTTATTGTCACAACTCCCTTCCTTCCTTGTTTATCACTCATTTTAGATCATCCATTGTACTTACAAAGCAGATCTATGGTAGACCCATTAGTGAAACCCGTGTGCCTCTTTAAGATCCGAGCTAGTTTTTAACTACACACTCGGTATTTCCTCTTTCTTATTCTGCTCTCCCACATCAAAAGAAAACCCCAAGTAAATAATACAGGTATGTCCTTGCTCTTTTGTTTTCAGAGTTCTTTCTCTTTTCTTGTTTGGTTTCTCTTTGATTTTTCAGCTGTTGCCAAAATCTGAAGGTGTTGCCGATGTATTTCATCGTAGAGACTGATCATCTCCAAGTTACATACAACCTTCATAATAAACAATCAGGGAATGGCATATCAGGGTAATAATTGCATTTTCCTTGGTATATGAGGAGCTGGGTGGTCTCCAGCTCAAAGCTGGGTCAGGGCATACTTGGGATGAAATTTTTTCATAAATACTCATTGAGGGATTAGCTGGTATATAATAATAAAAAGTAGGGCAGGAAGGGATCGTCAGAGATCATGTCCTTGGCTCAAGCCAAGATCAGTTTATAATTAAACCACCTTTGAAAGATGTTTATCTTATTTCCTTTTAAGAAGCCCCAACAATGGAGATTCCACAGGTCCTTCAAAGTTTCTGATGCTTAACTATTCTTTCCTTAGAAATTGGTCCTAATGTCTAACCTAACCCAGACTGAAATTTTAGCCCTTCACTACTTATCCAGTGCTTCTGTTTCTTCTTGTAGCAACCTTTTGCCTATTTGAAAACTGATATTGCATTCCCTCTAATTACTCTTCTCCAGGATATTTTTCACAACCTCCTTGTGTAGACTTCATGGGGGTTTTCTGCTGTATTTATGTGCTTTGTGGAGGTGGAAATCTGCTTCGCAATACCATTGCTGATGTAAAATAAGAATGACAGTAGGGGTAAAGGAGATTAGGAAAACTCCTTATCCTTCTGTGGGTCCATATCTTTCCCAAAGTGCAGTGTTCATTACTAGACACATTCCTTTAACTGAGATCTCACCAGTACTAACTGGAGTTAATAGATGACTTCATGAGTAAGATATGAAACTCCTTTTCACATACTCCAATGTAACATTTTGTTTTCCTAGAGCTACAACACTGTTGACTGATTTCACTCTAATGTAAGAGTTTTTTAATCAGTTTACTGTAAAGTAAGACTGTCATAATTTATTTTGCATTCTTTCCTCTGCAGTTTTTCTAATAATGCTGGCAATAAGGCTTATAATGACAGCTGAAATGTGGAGGTTCTGTGCTGTTTGCAAAACACAATTCTGCATATGCATATGGTATGCTAACAGGAAATTATTTTAAACATGGTACAGGTAGCTTGTGAGTTGTTAGTAGGCAATGAATCCCTTTCTGTTCGAAAGGCAGATAGAATTTTTCCAAGTACCACCTCAACAGATGGGAAAGATTTGTCTAAAGAGAAAACACTTTTTAAAACTTTATTACCTTTTCCTGATTATGCATTCTGCTCTTTGACACTCTCTTATGCTTCCATTAAGTGGCAATTTTAAAAGCATCCTTCCCATGAAATATTTCTTCAGCAAAACCCAAGTTTACTAGTGGGCCACAGTTTCCTTGCAGTGCAGCCCTGGGGCTCATTCTGGAATGTCAGCTCTGCTCAGTATCAGTGAAATTCTCTGTAACTCTGTGATGTGACAGTTGCATGGGAGAAATGGCTAAAGACAAGTATGTCTTTTGAAATATGCCTTCCATGCCCAGCAGTGCAGTTTGATTTTTAGTATTTTATAGATGCTTTTTATATATACCTGCATGGAAACACATACGCTTGAATGTGCACACTAGAAAGTGCATTGTTTAGTGAATTCTCATTTTGCTATCAGGCTAACATGAGAAAATGAATGCTATCCTATATTCAGGCTTCAGTCCACAATCAATATGTACATTGATATATATCACCAATGTAATCTCTCCGGAAGGTAAATCCTCTGAACTCCTACGTGTCGTGCCGTGGGGAATCATGCTACAAAACACCCTACTGGGAAACAAGTTGTAGCACCTTGAGGAGCTAGAGTGGTTGCACCTGCCTTGTGAAACAGTAAGTCAGCTGCTGCTCTCTGAGCACAATGAGTTGTTCTGTCAAGCTTAAAAAAAAAAAAATAAAAAATCAAACAGTATATTAAGAAGGAAGTGTTTCTCCTCTGCCTCCCATAATCCCTTCAGTGCTACCTGCTGCACACTTCTTGAGAAGTGGGCTAGGCTAGGAATTTTTGTTGGCTATAGATACTTTTTTTGATTTGAATTCTCTTTGCTAAGATCAAAAGAAAGGAGGATTTCCTAGTGGTAGGGATGGGGTGGACGGAGCAGGCCACATCTTGTGTAAAGGTAAATGGGGCTTTTAGGGTGAGAGAGGGAGTGTCACAAAGGATCTGTGGTTACTTGTGAGTAATGGGTTGGTGTGAGGGCAGGGATGGTCCCGGGCTCACTTGCAGGACAGTCTGTGGTGCTCCAGGCAACACTTACAGGGAAGTGAAACTACCTAAAGAGAAGAGAGATGGTGAAGGCAAACACAAACGGAAGAGGAGTTTGTAAAGGACACCTCTGTATCTTATAGGTGATTTGTATCTGCAGAGTCAGAATGATCACCTGGAGCAATACAAATCTGTGGCAGATGGATTTACAATTTGTACTTGAAACACCGGCCTGATTCTTCTTACTTTGCATGCATGTCAAAGCACTTCCTCATGTAGAATTACTCAACATTTACAAGTCAGGTGTGATTCAAGCTCTGCATAGATCAGTGGCTTAATTTAAATTATCAGCAACTCTGACAAAGCAGCATTAGAGTCAGCAAGAAATGACAATGGCCTGTTCAATCAATCAAACAACCCAGACTTGGCCTGCTAGTCTAGATGAAAGTGCATATTGAAACAGAAATGAATGTGTTAATTCCGGGGGAGGAAAAAGTATATAAACACTTGGCATACTATTGTTTTTAACTATGATGATGCAGAAGTAAAGAGGATGCCTTGGACAGTAGAGGGCACTGTGACCTCAAAAATAAGCTCCAAACTGGGCTTTAGTCGTACCTGTTTATGAGCACAGTTGATGGGACATGGACAAATGCCTTATTCCAACTAATAAATGTGCTCTATTTGTTTCAGAGTAGTTCAGGAGACTAGAGAGGCAATGTGAAAAAGCAAGGGGGGGTGTGTCACAATGATAGGTAGTGTAAAGCCACGATGCCTACAGATATTCACACAGAAAACTGAAAGAAAGGGATGAATTCCATCAAGTTGCTTGACACTGTGGTACATCTTTATGTTTAGAGAAGACAATCTTTAAAGCCTGATTTGAATGCTATTGTTAACAAGGTTTAAGAATGTGTCATGAAAGCACACAAGCATTCAGGATCATGCTTTGAGACAGATTATCAAAAATTGAAAAGGTGAGGAAGAAGATGAGAAGATGTAACTGCTGCTGCAAGTCACCAACAAGGACAATGTCCTATTTTTAGTTTTGTATGGATATAAATTAAGGGGTTTGTAACATCAGCAACTTTTTTTCTTCTCTTGATAAGGTACCTAGCAAAAAGACAAGATTTATCAAGTAAGGACGCCCTGCAGCCCTTGAAGCGACCATGTTAGTCAGTTCAGTTTGTCATAAAGAATTCACCTTTTCTAAGTCATATAAAAGAAGCAAACAGCATTCCCAAGCCACAGCTTTGATTATCATTTAAGGAGTGTTCACTGTGTAGGATTATCTTGCCTTCAGTCTGGTCTGCCATTTTGCTTAGTTTGCCAGAGGTACTTTCTACTGCTGTTTTAATTTGCCTGTTCTCTACCTTCACTAACCAGGGCAGCATAGCACATACTAAAATCCCCAACGAAATGAGTGTCAGGTTAAGCAAAGTGTGAAACAGAAATAAACTTGTTAATATCTGAACAGGCAAGCTTAGACCCTGATGCTGTTTCTGATACAGTTGTTTGTATTTCACAGTGGCCCGCAAGCTTCTCTCACTCTTGTCAAAACAGATTTGCCAGTAAGTCTCCATCAGTGTAGATTTACTGACTTTGATATGGCAACATATTTCAAGAGCTCTACTGTTTCTCACATCTGGTTGCTCTGCCAGTTGTTCACTGAAAAGCTAATCTGTGAGCACTTCCAGATCATTGCTTTTCTCCTCCTTCTGTTCTAAGTCCATTGCTGGCCCTCCTGTATTTCCACCATAAATGGTGTCCATATTCTCAATCTCACAGAGATTTCATCTGCCATGAAAAGTAACTCAGTCCATGTTCATATTATCCTGTTCTGTTGTTATCACTTAGCTCCTGCTTGTCACTGCAGGACTGCTACTTAGAGACACAGCAGAAAAACACTGACTCCACAAAAAATTAAGTAAAACCACAGTGGCTAGTAAATCAAGTTAGGGGGAACTGGATCCATCAGTTCTGCTTCTAACAGTGAGTTCTGGGGTCCTCAGATAACTTACTCTACAATTTTCTCCTACAAAGAAAAGCACAATGAGATGCAGTTGCTGTGGCTGTGAATCATGGCATCTATGCCAAATTAGCATGACTACTCACAGTGGCCAAATGCCACACGATGAGAATGTGGAGTGTACAGCAAGAGATCTTCATTTTGAAAGCTGTAAGGAGATTATGTCATGCAGAGGAGTTAAAAGTCCTCAGGACAGTGAAGAGTTACAGAAACATTCCAGGCCTCAGTTGGGAGGAAATGATCACACTCCATGCTTTAGGAAGGGGCATTGGCAAATCTCACAAATCAGCTGCTCAATAGGACAAGTGAATGGCTGTGCTGCTTTCATCATTCTGTCTACAGCAAGGAAAGAAGGGCAACTGGAGATATGTTAATCCTAGAAGGTTCCCAGTGTAGCCCAAATTTTTTTCCTGCTAGTCATTGTGTTTATTGTCCTTTTTTCTTTAGTTATTATTTTTTTCAGAGCCGCAGGAAAGCATTTAAGGTAAGCATGAATATATGGTACTGGAAACTGAAAGCCAAGAAATCTGAAAAAGTCTGGTGGAGACTAATTAAGTTTTCTGACTCACCAATGTTCTTCAGTGTTATTCTGGCAGCAGGAACTTTGAGATTTACAATCACTGTCACAGAAATGAAGGAAGTAATTTCTTTGTCAAAGAAAGAAGGGCCTTCAGGACCTCTCCTTGTAAATATGTGATTTTTTTTGTTGCTCTTTTTGCCAGGGTAGGCAAGCTGGGTAAATTGTTCTTATTTGTTTCTAGTAGAAACAAATTTTTGCTTGTTTGAGCAGTTAGCCATACAGACACACATGTTCCAGTTCTATACAGTTTTTCATATATATAGTTAAAATGCAACTGCAACTATAAAAGTGAGAGAAGATACATATGAACACAGATGTGCAAGTAGAGATCAGATTGCTGTATAAATAACTCACCAGAAGCATATTTTTCCCTCTTCAGGATGTAGGCAATGTATGTTTAAAGGGGTTGACTCCAAGGGGAATAGTGATATCCTGCAGAAAGTGAACTGGTCCAACAATGCTGTTAAATAGGACAAGGTACACACTATAATAGTTTGCCGCCGCATTCTGCTGGGGTTTTTTTCTGCCAGATTCCTCCAAGGGCAATCCTGCATTTTTACTTCTGCCTTAAGAGATTTCTTTGCCTTCTGCACTTCTATTCACAAGAAGAGGTCCCAACTATTTCTGTTCTCATAAAGTTCTTGCTGTAAGTAAGAATTTGTCTGCTCGGCTTTGACTGAAGCTCAATCAGTATTAATAATGAGTTAAGTCAGATATGGCCATATGGTGTGGAGCTCAAAACCCTCTAACTTCCCAACTAGTTACCTGGGGCTCTGAGCTCCACATTGCTGCAGCTCGGTTGCTGTCAGCACTCAAAATGACTAGTTTAATGCTAGGCTGAGCACATCTAACCATGCAGCAGCCACAGAACTGTTTTGTGAAGCGACATACTTTCCAAAACATGCTAACCTTGGATTAAATAAACCAAGGAAAAAGAGCCTTAAGTTCCCTAACTTGCTACAATGCAGTCCTGCTATTATTAAGTCTGCTGCTGAACGTGTGAAAGTGTGTGGGATCAACACAAACTTCACAGAAGCAAAGCCCCATGGTAGGTGGCAATGGCAGCTTTGTCAGAAAATCTGCAGAATATGCTCTGAGGCTGTGCCGCTGGAACAAAGCAGAGAAGTACAAGAAACATCATTATAGACTGAAAAAAGGAATCTCTACAGGCACTCTTATTCGGATCTCCTTGGGAGAGGGAAGGGGTTGGTATTGGTAATAAACTGTAAAGTAAAGGTCTCACTTGAGGCAAGAGGAAGAGAGAGAACCGGTGTTAAGAAACAGTAGAGAAGATGAGAATGAATGGAATAAAAGAAAGCAAGCTCTGGACTGTTTGATAATGAGGTGTGCCTGTCCAGTTTCCTGAGGAATGAATAATGTTAGAGAATATATAGGAACTGCCAAGGCCAGTGTGTTTCACTTTCAGGGTCTCATTCCTGAGGACTGTGAGTTATCTTCACTGACAGTGTGCCACAATCACTATCCAACTGAGGTTGCTGATATCTATCAGAGTGATTTGGAAATATGAAGAGACAGTCCAGTGATGGTGGAAAATGTGTGAGCAAAGAGATAGAGAAGACCTAGCAGAAAGAGGAATGTTGTGTTCCAGGATGTGCCTTGTCCTGGGACAGTAGAAAACTGTGGAGCAACAGCTTATGGATTTTGCATTCCCTGGACAAAAGGAGTTAAGATAAACCGATTAAGATGATGTCTCTCCTATGGACTTAACATATATCCTTCAACACCCTTGAGAGTTAAGAGAAATCAAATTTATTTTCAGAGATATATTTCTTTCCTCCCCTTCCTTTTTGTTATAAACAGCAAGGTCTGTGTTGATTTATTAGAATGACTCCTTTCGCTGTGATGTGCAGGATTAGTAATGAGCTACTCTGTCTGAAACGTGATGTTAGATACTAAACATAGGACTTCTGGAAAAAAAATGCAATTCCTGTGATGATATAAACCCAAGGTTTATTTCTTACTACTTGTGTCTTACAGATTGAAACATGTCATTTTATTTTTAGAGGTGTACCGCTCTACTGCAGCTCTTTTGAAGTAGTGTTGATGGTGTTCTATAGCATTTCATTGTTGCTGAATATGGGCACCTTTACATTTAAGAATGTGATGTTCTATTTTTCCATACTTATAGTAACTTTTAAAACCTTTGGAGTTGTTTAGTAGTACGTGCCTTTGTAATCAGATTCTGTGGGTGGTACCTTTTGAAAGAAATTGCCTGAAGAGCTTTGATAAAAGAAAACAGCCTGAAGGTAATTGGTTTGCTGAAGGCTGGAGCAGGCCCAGTTAACCTCAATGGTTGAACCATCCCGCAGTGATTATTTGAACCTTAATAATATCAACCCTTCAAGTTTCTAAGTGTTCCATGACTCTACTGATTTTGGCAAAAATTGAAAATAGGTCTCAGGAGCTAAAAATCAGCAGAACATATCATACTGCTCTTTTTCTATGTTGGTTACATTAAAAACTCTATCTGGAGCCTGTACCCTTCAATCACTCAGGCAGCAACAATAGACTCCTTTGGTTACTAAATTTACGACAAGGCTACTTGATTAAAATCAAATATAAAAAAGAGCAGACTGTGGAACTTTTTCTCTTGAAAAGCAGGTGGGAAAAATAGCACGTATTCTTCAAACACTTGAAGTGTCTTCCCTTTAAGAAGCACAGATAAATGTTTCTTGCAATATGAAACTGGTACATGTAATTCACACTGGAAGAAGGGCCTACGTACTCAGGAGACTGGCTGTTTTACATGAAAAATACTATTTCTTCCTTGCTCACCTTTTGAGATCAATGGAAGACATGCCCTTTGCAATTATCTCCCCAAAAGAGCTAGTGAAGGGCTATTTTCCCTCAGCAAGGAAAGAAATGTGGAGCCAAGAGACACACAGGCCCTCTGTCAGCCCCACAGGCGTTTGTTTAGTACCTTTACAGGTTTGTATATTGTGGTGTAAACAGCCTTCCTACGACCACAAAGACACAAAAGCCATCCTGTCCTTACACATTCTTACCTCGGTAGCTGAATCTGGATCAAAATTACCTTCCTGTGCTAACAATATGCTAACTATATATATATACATATATATATATATAAAATTGAACTATTTTTTAAATACTATCTTATTATGGTATTTGCCACATAATGCTCAAGCCATGTGTTTCACAGGCTAGGATTCATAAAAATAATTAGGAAAAAGAGATGAAAAGAAAGAGGTGGTAAACATTTTAGAAAGAGACCTACATCTGTTATGCCAGAGGAAAAATGTGGAAATACCAGGAAAAAGAACCAGAGAGTTTCAAACGTAGAAAACTTGAGAGCAGAACCAAAGAGAGAAATAAAGAGAGCAGAGGGATAAAGAAAAGCCTGAAGACAGCCATCAGGAGCATCTAGGAGGCGAGGAATAGGTACGATCCAGAAAGGACTTCCAGGGGACAAAAAGAAGAGGTCAGGGAGGAAAGAACGAAATGGATCTGTTTGGAGAGGTTGCAGTTACTGAAGATGTTATATTCTGCTATATTTAATCAACACTATCAAAAAGTGGTAATTAAATTAATGTATCCCTATCGGATGAGCTGCTGCCTAAGCACTGCTCTGTGCTAAGCAGAAGAGCTCTGGTAGGAGGTGGAACGACAGTTTTCTGCAGCTGGGTCTTGTTTGACAGTTGTGCTGTATATTCAACACTCTTCAAAGAACAGTAATTCCAGCTGTTACAGTAGGAGCTACAGTATTTGCTGCTGAAAAGTTCCTGAGAAGAACTGCTCTGGAAAAGTCATAAAACAACACCTCGAGTGCTCGCGTTATGCAGAACTTGTGTACAACAGGCCCTTTTAACCTCTGAACCCAAAGCAAGGTTTGGGCTGGAGCTGCCTGGTGCTCCTGGCTGAGAAGCCACATCGCTGGCACATGGTAAGGCAAACCCACGTTTAAATTCCATAACGAGGTGGTGGTGGAGGAGGAAAGAAGGATGACTTCTGTGGCGGGGAAGCCCCTAGGACATGGCAATAAAAAACACAGCCGGGTTACCTCCTGGCAGTTAAAATTTTGGGAATTTGGGCGGGGGAAAGGGCTCTTTTGGGGTGGGCTCGGTTTAACCGAGACAACGCTTACAAAGCTGAACGGCCCGTGAACGGGAAGGGCAATCAAGAGAAACACCAGAGGCAGGAGGCCACAGCTGCGTGAGGGTCGCGGCAGCCCCGCCCGCTCGGCGACCGGCGGAAAAACCTCCACCGTCCCTCTGGCAAGAGAGGGAGGGGGTGAGTGAGAACAGTTTCGCTCCCGCCTCCTCGTCCTCCTGCTCCTCCTCCCCGCCGGGCTGAGGGGGCGGCGCGTCCGTGAGCGGCGGGGCGGAGCGGGGGGCGCGGGGAGCGCGGGGGCCGCTCCCCGCCCCGCCGGCAGCACCGCCCCCTCCCCCACGTGCCCAGCCGGGCGGAGCGGGCGGCGGCGGAGCAGGGATCGGCCGCCCCCTCGCCCCGGTACTACGAGCCCGCCGGCTGCGGCTCCGCCCCGTGGCCTCCGGGCCCTGCCAGGGGGTGGGGGAAGCTCTCCGCCGAGCACCGCCCTCATCGGCTCGGCTCGGCTCCCCTCCCCTCCGGCGCGGCGCCCCGGCCCCGGCGGGGACTATGCGGAGATGGTCGTCCCGAGCCGAGGCAGGAACAAAGAGTCGCCACCGCTCAAGCCCGGGCAGCAGCAGCAGCAGCAGCAGCAGTCGCCAGGCGCCAGCCCCAGCCGCGGCCGTCGGCCGCACTCGCCGGGCAGGCAGCAGCTCTCCGGCGGGGCCCGCACCATGCGGAAGGGAGGCGGCGGCCGGCGTGGAGCCCGGGGCGACCCTCGGGGACCCTGCCGGGAGGGGCCCGCGACCCAGCAGGTCCCGCTCCCCCTCCACCGCGGGCCCCTGAGGCTCCTGCGCGTCTTCGGAGAGCAGCTCCGAGGTGAGGCTACTACCCCGAACCCTGCCCCCTCTCCGCTCCCTCTGCCCCTGCCAGGACGGGAGCCAGCCCTTCCGCCCGGGGGTAGCGCGGTGGGGCTGGATGTCGCCTCCCGCCCCTCTTTCCGAGTGTCCCGGCACGGCAGGCGAGCCCCCATGGTACGCGGTGGCTGTTCCTGGGGAAGGAAGCGCCGGGACGTCCTTCTTCGGGAAGCAGCGGTCCGGGGGCGGCGGGCAGGAAGCGGGCACCCCTCTGGTCTCCCGGCTGGAGGGAGGGAGGCGGGAGGGCGGTGTCTGGCACTGCCTGGGGCAGGGGCCGGTTGCGCTCCCGCCCTGCCCGGGCCCGTCCTCCAGCCCCTCACAACGCGGTGGCGGGTAAAAAGAGAGAAAAGCTGACAAGACCCACACGGGGATCGGCGAGAACCAGGGGCAAGGGGAAGGAAGAGAGTTTTTTTACAGCTTCAGCATCCTTTGGGGGAGAAGTGGGGAAACGTGCTGTTTGTGTAACTAACTCTTGTTAAAACAGTCCCTCTGGTGGTGTTGACTAGCGCAGTTCATAGTGCTGGCATGACCAGCTCATTTCTTGATAACGCTCTGCTGAAAGCGTGGAGGGTTGTGTGTTCTTTAAAAGTCTTGACTTCCTGTTTGAACAAATTTGTCGGTAACATACCTGTGTAGAAATCCTCCTTTGACAAGTTATTTTGTAGAGGTTCTTTCAGAAATTAAAAACCTAATGATTTGTATAGTCACCTGAATAGTCTATCTGTGCTGTTTAAAGCTTTTATGTGTAATTATGAACTCTCTGTATGAAATTTCAGCATTTTTGAAGTCTAGTCAAGATTTTTACTTAAAACTGATGTTGCAAAGTTCAGAGTTCCTTTTACAGGGGCTGTTCTTAAGGTACTTGTGTTCTTTGGCAGTATTTGTTGTCGACAAAAAGGACTTCATCATAAAAGCTGATAGCAAGATATGGCTCACATTTCTTCTGGGTAAGTAGAAGAAATACATCGGGGTAAATGCTCTTCTTTTTACCTTTCTTTCTCTGGAATTGTAAACTGTCAAAATGTATTTGGAAATACAGCTTGGAAAAACACAAAAACATAGCTTATGTTGAAAATGGACAGGAAATAACTTCCTGCCTGGTAACTTTTGTAAAGCTGTTACTGTAGCAGTTGATGTGGTATCACAACATTGTAGGAAAAAGAATTCCAGATATTTATGCATCTCTCCTATTCAGTCATTAATTTCTAGGGGGAAAAAAAAGCAGCAATTCTTATTGAGTAATTTATTCAAAACAGCTTGCTTGAGAAGAACTATGGATGGAAGAACATACAATTGGGGGGGATGTAAGTTCAGATGTTATTTGGGAATATTTTTGAGTAAATAATGAAATGGCTAATGGCCAAAGTCTTGAAAAAAGCACCTAAAGTGTTTGTGAAATTAAATAAGAAATGCATTCCTAAAGTCAACAAATGTTAAGTAATAGCGTATTTGTAAGATGCACAGTTATATATACCCTTAAAGGTATTATAGTGAAAGACTGTCATGGTATTCCAAAGATGCTGGTACTATTAATCACACCACCAGTAGTCTTGGTTGCCAAAGGGAGTTTCCTCAGTTTGATGAATTACATTGCAAAGGAATAGCAGGGAAATAACCCTTAGATTACAAACTAATTGATGAATAAAGTGTTCCTGAATTGCTTTACTTACATCTGTTTAGTCAGCATTTCCTAGACTCATAGTTACTTAAATGACATAGAAACATTAAACTGATGGTCAAAATTGAAAAATTATTTTCTTTGATTGAAATTTGAGAGCAGATTAGGGAGAGAGCATTATAATTTCTGGAATTTGAATTTGTCTGTGAAACTCAGATAACCAATTAAATCCATCAGGGAGATATTTACATTTTTAATAGCGGTAAGACCTTAACAGCAAATTATGTGATAACATACAGTAATTGCAGTAGCAAAGAATGTATATACACTAAATATGAAATAGTGAGGTTTGATTAGTTTTACTGGTATCTGAATTTTTGTTGTCATTTTGCTTAAGCTTTAAGGCCCATGTTTTAAAAACAGGCTCCCAGAGCTGGAGCTGGTTTTGTTATAGAGTGAGAAATTTTTTCTCATGCAAATTACCTCTAGTTTACATGCAGCAATAAAATTGTCAAAAATTTCAAGGATAGTCTTATACTACACTTTGCCCTCTTATGTTGGGTTTTTTTTTAAATGACCATTGACTTCAGGCCTTTTTCTTGAAGATGTCCTTTTTATATTGAACAGAATCTCAAAATGGAATAACTTGACTAAGTTGCAGAAGTAGTCTGTGCTTGCAGGTTCCTCATTGTTTCCAGTTTTGCTGTATTCCTACCTCATCACTTTATGGGTATTTGCCAAATATTAGTTTCTTGTATGCTTCACATCCTGCTAGATTACAGTATCTCAGCGTCTGTTGTTCTCTTGGTAAATAAAGCCAAAGAATGGCTTTATTCTTCAGTATTTAATTTCCAGAATTAAAATCCTTTTTAGATGCCATTCATATTGCTTTTCTTAGAACAGCACACAGGCAAAAATAGGAAATCTATCAGATTTTACATAATAGCCCTAGTCTGCAAAAATCTTATCATATGCTTTGCTTTTAGGAA